CGATTTTCTAACCTTTTCCGCTGGATTTCTAGGATTTTCAAAGGTTTCTGTCAGACTTACTCAGGTTTTTCGTGCCTTGCGCGAGGGCTTTTCCAGGATTTTCTCTGATTCTTCTAGATAGTTCTGTGGTGGTCTAGGGGTTCCGTGTTATTTTTTGGGGTTCCCAGATTTTCAATCAAAAATGCTAACCCATTTTCCTCTATTTTCTACGGGCTCCTGCAACCACTTGTAACTCGCCTGGAGTCTGGCAGCCTTCTGCGTCACCTCCGCCCGTTTCTCTTCGCGGATTTGTTCGTCCATCTTCTCTGTCCGCAAAAAGCTCGGGATCCCTTCCATCTCCATGCGGGCGATAGCCTGGTAAATCCGGGCGCCGGCCACGAAGCCCGTGCCCTGCCCGGAGGGCCTTCGGTGGTAACCGAAGGTTATAGACGCTGGCCCTGGCTGCCGCCGACCCTCGGGACCAAAACGGGGGGACCACCGGGTCACTGATGCCCCTGTAATTTACAGTGTATCGTGTGTGTGAGGTATAAAAAACACTGTGTTTTACATGGTTTATTGCGCATATCGAAGTACGACGCGGGGAAAAGGGAGAAATGCAAACATGCTGTGTTTTTCAAGGGTGGTGTCGGTAATGTGCGCTGGGCGGACAGGCTTAATCGACATTTTGTGGGTAGAGGCCCTCCAGACGACTTACATTGCCTAACATATCCTCAACATAGGCCCAAGATAGCCAACATATCCCCAACATAGCCTCCAAGACGGCTCAACATAGGGCCAACATAGGAGAACATGGGGCCAACATAGGCCCAACCTAGGCCAACATAGGCCTAACATAGGCCAACGTAGGCCCAACATAGGCTCAACATGGGCTCCAGATGTGCCCAACATAGACCGCATGGGCCACACTTGGCCCAACCTAGGGCCAAGATGCGCACCAGATAGCTTAACTTTGCTCAATATAGGGCCCCCGTCTCCGACGCGGACCAGTTTCCGGCACCACCCAGGGCCCAGTATGCCCTTGATAGCTTAACGTGTGCCCGACCCAGCCCTGCACAGACCCAAGTGGGCCGGCGCCCGGCTGTTAGGCGTAAGCCATTAAATATCTGTAAATTCTAAGTTATTTGTTAGCGGCGGATTATTTGATTGCAGATTATTACTATATATTCATTAAAAAACAGAATTAGGAAATTTATTTCGACTTGGCGGTTTATGCATCACGGCATCTAAGAACGGAACAATTATGTTAAAAAAAACATCGAATAATTCATAAATGGGCAAGATCGTATTTTTCTTGGGCAAAAATTATTCCAATATATTGCATTTTGCGCCTTAAATTTATCTATTGATAGATATTTAATGGTAAATAGAACATATAATTTACCTTTATTAATGAATTCAGGCGGTTGCGCTTTAGAATGCACGAGGAATTGGAATCTTCTTTATTGATAATTCATTTGATATTTCTTCCATTCCTAAGAAATTTGATAAGATCTTGATATGTTCTGTGTGGTTGGCAAAGGTTAAAATTTGAATAGGGCTAGGGATATATTTGTTAATTGATAATTTGTTGCTGGGTTGGATTGCAATGGGTAAATATTTTAGATTGTATTTTTAATTTGGGTTCTTGATTATACTGGAGAATAAAAATATGTATATTATTAAGAAGATTCGTAGCATCAGGATGATATAAATATATCTATATTTATGTCTATATGTTTCGCGGGTCTTTGCGGTGCTTGGTTGGCGGCTGCTAAATTGGCTTTGGAGAAGGCCTGCTTCTAGGGATATTTTGGTCCTTAGGATATTATATGGAGATGGGAATTATCTAGTGATATTTTTCAATTAATTAATTTAATGTATGTCTTTCAAATTATATAGGTGATAATATTAAAATAGATTTCATTAAATCAATTTAGGTGGTGCAAAAAAGTAAAACAATATATGAGGGTCCACCTCAAATTATTGCTAAACAATATTGAATTTATATTATAAGATAAGTTTTCTTTGGTCTCATCATTGGCTTCCTCATCCCTGTTCTCTTCACCGTTCTCCTCTGCTAAAGTGTCCAAGACAAATTTCTGCCCAATCTTACGTTATCAGGATAAGAAATCATTTTTAATAGTGTCGGCTGTCTGGCTGACAGAGTAGCAGCTTGCAACCAAGCACCTTAGAGCTACAGCCTCTGGGCACAATGCTTTGTGGTTTACTAATAGATCAAAGCTAGAAAGAAAGAAAACCCTTTCATCAAGATGGCAAGGCACACTTCCAATGCTTTGGAAGGTACCGAATCAAAACCTACAGATTGAGAATGTTTGCTAATCAAGGATACCTGCCATCTCAATAGGAAGAGATTGTGGAAAAGGAAAATATGTTTGCGAAAATATATATACAAATTATTGGAACTAACAAGAAAAATAGAAAAGGAATATGATCAATGACTACCAATTCCAATATAAATAAACTAATCGAGGGGGTGGGTGATTATAGAACCACCTATTAAGTGGACTTCAATGATAGCAAATTAGATGGAAAAGGATAGAATACAATCTCATTCAACCTCTATAATGAAATTATTTGAGGGGATTGGTGATTATACAATCACCTATTAAATAGTGCCAACAGGAAAGGTAGAAAAAGACAGAACAAACAAAACAAACCAACAAGGAAAAAATGGAAGAGGAAAAGAGATTGGAAAACATGTGCAAATCCGCTGGGTTTTTGAAGATTTGATTGAAAATAGCCAGGTAGAACCGGCATAAACAAACATTAGCGACTTAGGGGTTCGTATTAGCCAGGTAGAACCGGGACGGTGGGAGCAAATAACAACGATCCCTATACTAAATTTTTTGAGGGATGGGTGAGTCTTCAACCACCCATTGAATATATAAATATATATATTTGAAGGGTGGTTGGTTATTCAACTACCCATTATGATGTTCTCGTGGTAACCCGATTTGTGTCAATTTTGGTTAATTTTAGGGGGTGGATCCCATCTAAACAAAATCATATCCGATTTATGTCCTTTTTTTAAACGATATTCTTGAAATTGTTTGTCAGACCTTGAGGGCCCAGAAATAGTTGGATGCGGATATTTCCAATCATCTCAAAATAATAGGATATTATTTTGAGGTAGGTGGTACGGCGGGTGGGCCCAAAATATAATATATTTCTAGCGAATTGAATTGTCCGCTTTGATGTTGTCTTAT